ATTGGACAAAGTTTTAGCAGGACTAGGTTATGGATAAAGTTCAGCTTCTCTCAGCTGGGCTGGGACTATAGCTCAGGGGCAAAGTATTCACTCTACATATTCAATTGCTGGGCTCAATTGTCAGCACTTCTTCAAGAGGTGAAAACAACCAACAGTAAAAAAGAAACAAAAACAAACTTAAAGGCAGACCAGATATAGACGTACAATAAAAACCTATTTACAAAAAATATCTATAACACCAATAACCATAGAAAGGAAAATGGCAAAAATAATATGGAATAGACTAAAAGGATAAACAGTGAAAGTTAAATTAATAATTTAAAAGGGGAGACTAAAAAGAAACAACCAATTAAAGAATTAAAGGTATGTAAAATTACATAAAACTGTCAAAGAAATATTGAGGAAAAACAAAACTCCTCTAGTAGCTGAAGATGCTCTCGCATCCCCTGTAGGCATTTTGAATAGCTAGTAGCAGCTAATAACAAATTATCTATATATGGAAGCAGGGTGAGGTTAGGGTGGTGGGATCTAAAACTCACTAAGTCTTTTTAGAGGGCTTCACCAAAGAGGGCAGGTGTGTTTTTGAATCTTTGAGGCAGCCAGGTCCAGGTGAGCTGGCATGAGTCACTGGAAACTGGGTCAGTCCACGCGAAGGGGAAGATGGGCTGGCTAGCTGGGGCAACCGGCACACTGAAAAAAATATCTTTTAAATCTAGCACAGTATATACTTGGTGCTCAGGAGACAGCAAACTGAGGAGGGTATATGGGTTGGGGACAGTAGGGTGTAGAGTTATCACTTGCTGGTTAACCTTTTTAAGTCTTGAACCAGCATGTAATCTGACATCTCCAGTTTTTGTACCAGCAGGAATGATGTGTTTTATGGAGACTGACAGGGAGTTAATATCTCAAAGTTTAGGAGCCTCTTAATGTGAGAGGCTATTTTGTCTGGCCTTTTGAGAGATAGGGTATTGTCAAACTCGCACAGGCGTGGCTGTTGTCAAGAGCTCAACTATTATTGGAGGGTGGTGAGCAGCCAAACCCGGTGGATTAGTTTTTGTCTACACCTTTGGAAACTGCCTGGAGTCTGTTTAATAGGCCCTCAGGGCTTGTTTTTGTTTGTTTGGTTGGTTGGTTGGTTTTGTTTTTTTGGGGGGGATTGAGAGAAGAGATTTTTTGGACAGGGCATTAGTCAAGGACAGTTGATATGAAGGGAGTGACATCTAAGCCTTGGTTGGAGTGAAAGAAATGGTAGCTTTTAGTTTATGAAGGAGGTCTCATCCCAGCAAGGGGAATGGGCAGTCTGGTATCACCAGAAAAGAGTGAGTAACTTGTTTTGATCCCAGGTTTACCAGTTGTTTACTCATGAGTGGGCAGTTCTGAACTGCTCCCGTGCCCTCATGGATGGGAATGGTGTGTGATGAAAGCTCTTTCAGAGGAGTTTTTAACACTGACCTCTCAGTGCCAGTGTCCACCAGGAAATGGACCCATTGGCCCCCTATTTTAACATTTATAATGGGCTCCTGGGGACCAAGAGAGAAGGAGCCCTGGCCCCCTCAGTCTAAATCTTCTTTTCCCTCAGATATGGGGAGGGATAGTATCTTGGCAGAGGACCTATGGGGGTATTTTTTTTAGTGTCCTTTTTTCTTGTAATAGGCACATTGATTTTTGTCCAATGGCAGGTGTACTCTTGGCCTTTTAGACACCTGTCCTTTGGGCTTTTTGGAGTTGGGTCCTATGGGGTCCCTTCTGATGGCTGTCATCAAGATCTTTGTTTTTTGGCTAATCTTTTTGTCATAGCTGTGGCCAGTTTTTGTTTTTTTGAATCTCTATTGTTAAACACCTTTTGAGCTATTTTTAGTAGCTGTGAGATGTTTATTTTGGGCAATCTCTCTAATTTTTGTATTTTTTTTTTTAATATCAGGTATAGACTGAGTAACAAAAGCCAAATTTATAGCTCTATTGTGTTTTGGAGCTGAGGGGTCGAATGGGGTATAAACCTGGAAGGCCTCTCAGAGTCTCTTTAGGAATGTAGTGGAGAACTCTTCTGGTCTCTGTGTTGTTATTTTAGTGGTTTTTGACAGAATTATGGGTGTTTGAGCTGCTGCCCAGATCCCCTTTAACAAGTTTTGGTGAAAAGTGATCAAATCTTCTTTCCCCCCTGAAGAATTTGGGTCCCATTTAGGACGCTCAGAGGGGAATCCATGTTTTAGCAATCTGTGGGCCTCCTCTGAATGCCCTCCCAATAATATCTTTTTAGCCTCAAACCTAATCCTATCCCACTTCTCAGTGGTAAACAGGGTCAACAACAGCAACTATTGACAATTATGCCAGATCAGTAGATGAGTCTTAAAGATAGACTCAATCAGGGAAATCAGAACCTGGGGCTTCTCAGAGAGTGGTGGATTTGGGGTTTTTTAGTTGTAGAGGTCAGAAGTGGAAAAGGAACATATACCAGGAACAGGCGGGTTCCTGGTCCTGCCCCACTGAGAGGTAGGGCTTCCCTCAAAGGCAAGAGAGCCTCTGGACTGTGTCTTTTGGAGGTGGTGACCTCCTGCTGGGATGGGATATGGGGCAAGAGGTAGCGGGGGAAGTAGAGGAGGAAATGAGCGAGTCCAGGGCAGGCAGGTCTGGACAGACAGGAGAGGGTGGTGAACTAGGGTTATATGGAGGTGGACAGGGGAGACTTTCTCAGCATCTGACTGTTGCAGAACCAATTTTTGTCTCTTTGGAGTGTGTCCATGAGGGGGACAAAACCTTTTGGAAACAAACCACTTTGAAGAGGCGTTTGTGACACAGGCCTTTATGAAGGAGGATGTTGTACTAGAGTAAACCAGGAGTCGATGTAAGGGAACTGATCAGGGTGTGCTGGTGACCCAGTAACAACCTTTTAAACTGTTTGTTTGAACCAGGGCCAGGTCGAGGGAGCCCTCAGAGGGCCATCCCACACCAAAAGAGGGCCATTTGAGCTCGTAAAAAGTGTGAAGTTTGCTTTTTGACATTTTTATTCTATAATCATCAGAAAATCCTGAGGAAAAAATTTTTAAGCATGTAGGCCCGTGATGTAACAGGTTGTGAGGCTGATGACCCCATGGCAGAGAGACTTAGGGCAGGCAGGAGATAACCAAGAATGGGAGCTATAAGAACAAATGAAAGAGAAGAACACACAGGGGGCATCTGACATAGAGAAAAACCCTTAGTATCTATGTAGTGTACCCTTGAACGATGTCATGACACACAAAGGAAGGGGGTGTTTGTGGGAGGAACCACTCAGTTGGTCAACTAGCTGTGGGCCTCTCAGCCACTTTAAGTACTGTCTAGGCTTTGGGGCATATTTATCTCATTGCAAGAGCACCCACTTGGCCTTTCTTAGACAGGTCCATGGAATCACAGTATGACCTCATTCAGACCCCAGCACTCTGAGGGGGAGAAATCCCCCTCTTTTTCATGTGGCATGGACAGGACAGTCTATAGTTTACACTGTCCATTTCTAGTCACACACCCATTTATACAACAGCCATTCAGAGGTTAAAAACATTCCAAACCCTTCCCCGGGGATTTCTCAGGTTGGCTGACTTGCAGCCAGACCAGACCAGATCAGTGGGCCACCCCAGTCAGGGTACTGACCTTAGGAGGAGCCCAGGGAATGCCTTTGTCAAGGACTGTTGTTTTCCACCAGAACCAGAAGTATCCTTACCTTCAGACCAGACCAGGTAGACTCTGGAAAATTTGGAGGTATCCTAGGCATCTCTGCAGTCCTCTCAGTGTTGGCAGTGAGACTACGGGCCCTAGAATGTCTCAGGGAGCACCTCCCCTATAGTTTCCTGCTGCAGATGGGAGGGACCACAGTGAGGCCAGTCCACCCATCATGGCCATCTCACTGGGACCACCATCTGTTATGGACGAGTGAGTTACAACAACAGAGATGTGTCACATTCTGCATCAGATTTGAGTCTGTTTATTTAAGCAAGTGATTGAGAAGGGGCTAGTACCCAGAAAGTATTTTTGGTGCTGAGAAGCAGTTTGATTTTTTTTTAAACCATGTTTTTAATTGGGGAGGGCTCAAGAGAAGCGCCAGTGGAATTTTACAGAAGCAGAACCAAGTCAGGTTAGTGGAGGCAAAAGAAAGTTTCATACACTAGGTGAGCTATAAAACATCCTACAGCTACAACAAATTTTTTTGCCAAGTAAGATGCGGGTTTTGGGTGTTTTATCTAACACAGATACAAAATGGTGTTGAGGCTCAACATAGAGTCAGGTTGACTATCACAACAGCTGGCCTTGCTCCTCAGCACAGAGGTCGGACCACCAATTTTAAACTGAACCGGAGTTTCTCAGACCATCCTTCAGTCATCAGGAGCTCTCTGCAGATCTGTGTCATAGTCCCTTCCTTGGGCCCACACAGTCGATCTCGGGTATTGGAGATACAAAAATGCAGGGCCTTCTGATCCCCTAAGCAGTAAACTCAGATGATAGGACTTAAGATGGGTCCCAGTTACACCCTGGCCACATGTGAATATGCTGGGAACCTCTTGCTCGGCACCAGGTCGCCGTGTGGATCCCACCCAGGTCTCCCGTCTGCTCAGGCCATATGTTTGCAAGGTGCCAGATTCTGCACTTGTGCAATTCACTGGGGCTCTGTCCCTCTCATCTGTTCCTTTAAGCTGGAGCTCTCCTCACCCTGGAGTTGTCCTCCAGCATCTTTACTCAAACTGCAGCACCATACAGTTACACACCTGTTGTTTTGATTCAACCTCAAGGACACACAGACATGCTAGGTATCTCTAATCTGCCGGCTTCTTATCCTCTTTTTTTAAAATCCAAGAGATCTGTTAAATGGCACACCTAATCCTGAGTGGACTTGCTTGGTGGGAAAAAGAATAAATTAGGTTTAGAGAATTATAATGCACCTGTAACAAGACTATTATCAATTGAATTAAAAGCTTCCAATAAATGCTGTTATTGCAGTGGCTTATTTTTCCTGTTCTCATCTTTGTCTCTAGTCCTTCCCAGTTGTGTTTAACCAGAGAGCATCTGGACCTTTAGCATCTCCTTGTTGCTGATTCAGAAGCTGGCATCAGGCACAGGCACTGGAGAGGTCACTGAGGTAAATTCTCTGAAGGCTCCAGGAGTCTGTCCTGTGTTCTCTCACTGTCATGAAATGTCCCTAGAAAGCTTGTCTAAGATCATGTGTTGGGTTCTTTATGAAAGCCATTTTAAAAAGCTACTCACTTCTACCCCTAAAGAACCAAAATTCTGATCCTAAAAAAAATTTTTTTTGCTCGTTTCTGAAGTTTGCAGCACCCAGAGAAGAATGGCCCTTGTTCCAAAGAGAAAAAAATAACCTTTTTTAAAGGATGTAAAGACTAGTTAAATCTAACCTATGCCCACAACACATACTTAGGTGGCTTCTTTCTGTTCAAGAAGTTTCACTTCCCACCAGTAGTGTAAATGTTACCTGGAGTAATTTGATCTGAAAGAGGATTCCTAGCATGAGAAAGGCGAGACCCTTGTAACTTGCTTTTCTGTGGCATCCTCGCGGTTAGTACTATAAGGAGGAAGAAAACCCAGGGATCTATAGGAGTTGCACGTGTAATAAACGGAGGCACAGTTTCATCGGCTAATCACAGCCATAAGTTGTGTGTATATGATAATAATTGCTCCTCTTGCTCTCTGGGTGCAGACACTGCGAAAGCGATGCCCAGTGAAGAGCCTGCACTGACCATGGAAGAGAACAGCGGGCTGGACGAAGCTGCGGTGCAGGGCGGCCCATGCCCGGGCCGCCTGGGGGCGCCCTACGCCGAGGCCTGGGGGTACTTTCACCTGGCACCTGCGCGCCCCGGGCACCCGTCTGGCCGCTGGGCCACTTGCCGGCTGTGCGGGGAGCAGGTGGGCCGCGGCCCGGGCTTCCAGGCGGGCACCTCGGCTCTGTGGCGACACCTGAAGAGCGCGCACCGGCGGGAGCTGGGGAACAGCGGTGCGCCCGGCCCTGTGGCAGCCGCGGAGCGCGAGTGGGCGCGGCTGCGGGAGCAGATGGGCGCGCTGGCCGAGCAGGGCCGGCGGCGTGAGCGCGAGCTGGCGCGGAGGGAGGCGGCCGTGGCCCGGGGCGAGCGCGCCCTGGAGCGCGGGCGGAGCGCGCTGCGGGCCCTGGAGCGCCGGCTGCAGGCGGAACGCGAGGCCCTGCAGACGAGGCTGCGAGAGCTGGGCTGGCCCTCCGCGCCGCCCCCGGCCTCCGTACCGAAAGAGGACCCCGAGGACCGGGTCGGGGACAGCTGCGTTGCCGCCAAGGTCCTGCTATAGAGGTTGGCTGATTCCACCGTGGGCCGCGATATGCCAAATGCGGGGCCTCCCACGCAAAGTTCATACCAGTGCGAAACCAAAACCACCACGTCACGGGTGCCTTTGACTTCCTGTGCCTTGACGCATGTGAAAAACAGAGTCGCACAGAAGGGGAACCAAAGAGCCCCAGCATCCTTGGTGCCATATCACTTGAGGCTGGTGACTGAAAGGACAGAAGCTGCTTTACACGCCAAAGACTCTTCACTCTGTGTGCTTTATGCGCCGTGCCAGCCCAGGGAGGGCATGGAAACACGGATCACGGTTTTAACCAGTACGAGTTTTCCTCAACTCTTGGTGGATAATCTGCCCAGCGCTAAGTTGTGAAAAGGGGACTTTAGTTTCCATGACTGCTTTCCACCCTGATTCATCTCTAGAACTTCATCCGGGCAGTGTCCGAGTGCCTCCCACACGGTGCTCATCCAGTGCAGGAAGCACCTGCACCTCAGCTATCTTTTCCCTGAGTTACAACCCAACAGCAGGTGTAGCACATTTCCGCCTTTCTTGCCTTATACTTCCTGCCACTTGACTAGCAGGCCATGACCTCATCCCTTGTCACTAGAGTGCTTCCTTCTCCGTGTCTTCACCATCCTGGCCCAAAGTTTATAGCATCCCTCCCATCCAAAGCCACTTTCCTCTTCTGCGTTTACTGCCTCCGTCCCCGTCCCTATTCGCCTCCCTTTCCCAAGCAACCCTCAGTCTCTCAGAAGAAAACGAAGACTCTCAGCTGACAGGGTGAAGCAGTCCCTGCTGCCTCCCCGCAGGTCAGCTTTCATGGGTCACTCAGGTCTTTCCAAGTCACCACTCTCCAAAGACCAAACAGGACTTCTTTCTGCCTTTATCTTCCTTAATGTCTTGCTTCTTGAAATCCCTCCTTTGGTAGGTGGAACATGCTTTCCCTCCAACGAACTCCTTTTCAAGGTGTAGACCAGTTCACCTAACAATTTTTCCTCAGGCCTCTTTAGTTTTCAATTTTTTTCTGTTGAAAATTCCCAAGCATCCAGAAAGAGTTGAAAAGCTAGTACAATAAATACCATATGCATCCCCTCCACCTAGACTGCACAGAGATAATGTTTTGCCTTATTATCACCACCCCGCCCATGTGTAACCGCTTTTCATCCCTAAGTAGTTTACCTTGTATCTCCTAAGGATAAAGATATTGTTGTCATGGTTACAGTATGATTATCATACTTAAGAATATAAACAACTTCCTTTTATTCTTTATTTTTTTATAACTTCCTTTTAGACTCTGATACAAAGTCCTTACTCAGAGCTCCCCAGTTGTCTCAATGACTTTTTTTCAGGTCGGATCAAGGTTCATGCATATATTACTATTGGTTATAACCCTTCCATCTCTTCCACCCCCAATGATTTCGTGAAGCATCCACTTATCCTGGGTTTGTTTTTTTATTTCTCTGGGCCAATTTCTACAGTCCCCTCCTGGCTCATCTCCCTGTAGAGCTACAATGATCTGTGTCAGTGACTCCTACCCTAACCTCAAATGCTCTCCTTGGGGTCTGGCCCTTCACACCCAGTCCCTGCTCCACATCTCCCCTTCTTTTACATTATGGCACCGCCAATGGAAGGGCAAACCTGCTGCCCTTCACTGATAACCAGTATTTTGTAAGCACTTCAAAGTTCATCAGGTACACAGCCCACATGTCATAAGCATTATGTCACTTTGTTTTCAGCAGCTCCCTGGGGAACAGTTGATAGGACCTGCTTTAGAGCAGAGTGATGTGAGGGATGAAGCAGCCTGAACAAGAAAGAGCTGGGAAGTAGTAGAAGGAATCTGAACACAGTCCGCCTGCCTCAGGTGCCAGGCTTCCAGCTACTGTACTGATTTCCGAGAGCTCTGCGTCCCTGTCCATCACCTGAGTGAGGCACTTGTTCCCTTCCTAATTCCATTTCCAATTTAGTAGAATTAACTGGAATTAGGGACATTATTAACATTTACTGAGCACTCACCATGTGTCACAACTAAGCTAAGTGCTTTAGATGAGTAATTTCCTGTCACGTAGCAACCCCATGATCTATGCGCATTTGGTAGATGGGAAAAACTCAGAAGTTAATATCCTCACAATCACACAACTGCTAAGAAACTGATTTTTTTTATTTTATGAAAAAATAAAAATGTCATAATCAAATAATAGAAGAATAACAAGTTATTATACCATGTATTGTTATCTTTAGTTACTCAGAGTACAAAACATAAACCAAAAAAGGATTCTTACAAAGAAGAAACAAGTAGATAACACAAATCAGTGATCTGATCTCCAGTTTCACTAGATCCTAGACAGTTATTTCACCAAGCCTATTTCCACAAAATCCTGAGCCCCCCTTACTTCTTCTTTCTTTTTTGGTGGGGGGTACCGGGGATCAAACTCTAGTCCTTGGGCTTGCGAGGCAGGTGGCAGAACTACTGAGCTAAATCCCCAGCCCTAGCCCACCTTACTTGTAATGTCATGACACAGCAACTACTTACCATCCATCTGGGACTCATCTTCCCGTCCTTGACTGTCTCGCCACCTCTACTGAGCAACTTGGCCAATTTTCAAAGCATTGACCTAAGTTAATATTGATTAAATCACTTTTCCTGTTCCAAAGCCTTGAAGGTCGCCCATCACTCACTTAGAAAGCTTTGATTCTGTGGCCTTACATTTAAGCCTGGCATGACTGCACATCCCCCCACACGTACTGGATACTCCAGCCAAATTGGACTCGTCTACCCGACACACCCTGGGCCTGGCAACTCTATGCTTCAGTTTGTGCCCCCCACCCCCACAAAGCCCTTCAATCTCTTGAGTGTGAAAAATCCCACCCAGGCCTGGGTGTTGCTCAGTGATGGAGAACTCATCTAGCATGATCCCCAGCATCATCAAAAGACAAAAAAAGCACAAAAACCAAATAACACCCATCTTCTAAGGCCCCGTGTCTTCTTTGACTGTTTCTTCAACTGGATGCATTTCCTTATTTTATACTCACAACTCTGGGAATAGGCCATCCAGCAGATAGCTGTAGGTTCCTGTCTTATTCCTGCCAGACCCTGAGTGCTTGGGAGTAGCTTACTCACCCTTCTACTCACACAGTGCCTTGCAACTAATAGCTGCTCAATCAATATTTGAGGCATTGACTCCACTATGCTTAAGATTTTTAAAGTTGGTTTTCCTGTAATTAGTAATGTAATTCTTCATTATTTTTTTCCGAATATAATTCCTAGTTTTAAAAAACTTAGCCTAAAAGGACGTAGCAATTATCTGTTAAAACTCTTTGGCCAACAAAAATTGTTAATGTGTTATTTATTAGGGTGTTTTGCTTGAATCCATTCAACTCTTCTAGCATAGATTTGTCAAAATGCTTGTGTAGAACTTTTTAAAAAATTATATGAGCAATGCAAATGTAATGCTGTATCTAGGTTATAGTTTAGATCAAGAATAACCCCCAAATTCTCATGCACTCAGAGGCGGGGCTTCTGGAAGGTGACTGGATCAGTTGAGTGTGATGTTAGGAGGTGGGATGTGGTCAGAAGAGGTGGTCACTGGGGGTGACCTGAAAGGATGCATGTCCCTCCCTTGTCCCTCCCTTCTCTCTTGTTTCCTGGCCGCCGTGATGTGAGCGGCCTTCTTTCCCCTAGGCCCTTCCACCATGCTGATTCTGTGTTTAAGCTTACCAACCACAGATAAAATCTTGAGACCATGAGCCAAAATAAACTCCCCTCCTTTAAGCTTCGGGTGTCAGGTATTTTGTCTCAAATACAAGGAAACTAAGACAACAGCAAAAAAAAAAAAAATCCCATAAAGTTCTGTCACTTCTTTTGTCTTCTGTAGCTTTTGTATTACTCTAAAAACAGTGAAAGTTCTCTCTCAAGTATTGGAATTTAACTTCATGTAGATTTATTAATTAGGCTGTAAGATCTGAATTTGGATCCCTTGGGTCCAAAACAGACTTTTATACATGATACTCTTCTCCTTCACCAATTGTCAGAAGCATCAAAAGAAAACAAAGATTCACCTTTAGAATCTCACCCACTCTCCCGAGAGTGCTGATAGGTGGCTGAGGTCCTCTCCTGGATGGAGAAGCATCCGCCTGGCACTGCCTGGGTGCAGGGCGAGGCAGTTAAGGGAGAGGTTTTGCTCTCTGTTCTATATTTCTGCATTGTACTTACTTTTATAATAAAATGAGTTGCTGTTATAATAAAAAATTATATTAATTATAAACAAATCCTCTCCCTCTCCGTTCAGCTTCCTTAAACAGAACCTCCAACACAAGGATGGATGTAATCTCCATTTCCAGAAAAACCTGGAGAGAAATGGAGCCCTTATCCACTCCAGCTCCTCCATTTGACAGATGAGGAAAATGAGTCCCAGTGATTCACCTACTCTCAGGAGACAGTGGCAATGGCAGGTCACCTGAATGCAGCTTGATATCATTAGCTAAGGGAGATGTGAGCGCAGAGGGGAGTTTGGGAGCCTGCTGCGGCTGACGGCTCACAGGGCGTTGTCACTGCTGATGAGATGGCACCGTGCCTTGCACGTAGCAGCAGCACTCCGGACTGACAGGCCTTGCTCACGGTCCCAGCTGGTGCTGCCTTTGGCAGAGGTGCACACAGGGTCAAGGTGGACGGCTGGTGCTAGGGCACACACTGTACCCTGAACTTCAACTCCTTACATTCTGCCCTGAGGTAAAGTACGTGTTCATTCTTTAGACTGAAATCTGGCAGGAGGAGGGGGTAAGGGAAAAGCAGAATAAGAACCAAACCTGCAATGGCTAGGTCCCTTCAGATACCTAAGTTCATCCTTGAAGGCTCCAGAAAAGTTGGCATCCTTTGAGGCTTGAGAACTGTCTGGCTTCATATTATAGCCTGAGTTTCCACTTTATATAGCTGTCTGTGCTTAAAATCTCAGAAGGAATTCATAAACACTGGGTTTATGTTCCTTTTAAAATTTGAGTTTTTCTATTTGTAAAGGGTTCATCTTATTTTTCAACAACCTGAACATGTGTCTTTGCCTGAAAAACGGATGAAGTGATCATTTAGCACTCATATGCTATAATTACAGGAAATACATTAAAACATCAGTCGGCATTTTAGCAAATCAATTTCTTGGCTGAACAGGATTTTCTTATTAACTGCAGATTTAGAAGAAAATGATGAAAACCACACATCTATGCTTTACCAAAAACAACAACTGTATGAAGGCACCAATTCCATCAGCTTCACGACAGAGAACTGAACCAAAGTAACTGCACAGCCTCTTCTGTGCTGTATTCCCTTTTGTCCACACACCTGGCATGGAAGAGCAGACAGAACTGTCATGGTTTACAGATGTCCAAAATCTCAGAAAGGTTAAGTGCCCTACTGAAGAGCACATGGCTAGTAAGGAGCAGATGGGAGCCTGGAGTTCAGCCTGTGAGCCATTCACCATTCACATGCCAAGCACAGCCAGCCGAGCTTCTTTCAAGGCCTCTCAGCCCATTTCCTTGGCAGTCCTGGGACTGCAAGATCTTGACCAGAATGTCTTGTTAACACTTGGGTGCTTGGTGGCTATTCCAGTACAGGAGCTCTGGTGTTGGGACAGGCCAGGTAGCTCTCTCAGAGGAAGCCAGATTAGCACATTTTAGTAATTGAATGAATTTGTCTTCCAGCTCTGCAGGTCAGAAGTCCAAAATGGATCTGAGTGTACTGGCGATCTGTTTCTGGAGATTCTAGAGAATTGTTTCTGCCTTTTCAGCTTCCAAGGACTGCCCCATTCTTTGGCTTGTGGCCACCTCCATCCCCAAGGCTAGCAAGGACCAGTCAAGTCTCACACTGCACTGCTCAGTCTCCCTGTTCCACACTTAATGGATACTCCATTATGGTCAGCTGGCCAGCAACCTAATTCTATCTACTACTGTGCCCCACTTCCACGAAATACATGAACAGGTTCCTAGGACTGGATACAACCTTTGAAGGGATTGCATTATTTTGCCTAGCACAGCATTACACTGTAGGCTAAAGCAGATGTGAGAAAGAGATGTACCGGATGGGTGAGCCCCTTTCCTAAAAATTTAACACTATGGTGGGCCCCTAATCTCTCCCTTCTTGTATTAACCTCTCTTCCAGTGCAGGGAGCACTCGAAGACTTTTCTGGGACATACCTGGCAGGAAGGTGGGTGTCCAGAATTCCTCCAGTGGGGAAAGAGGCCTGCATGTTTCTGAAAATGTTTGTGAATTTGTGCAGTGATGA